GCCACAACTACTGAAGCTCGCGCACCTGGAGCCCGTGCTCCACAACAAGAGAAGCCACCGCAATGAGAAGCCCGCACACTGCAATGAAGAGTAGCCCCCGCTCGTCGCAACTAGAGAAAGGCCAGCAACTAAGACACAGTGCAGCCAAAAATTAATTAATTAATTAACTTAAAAAAACTAAAACAAAGTCACTCAGCTCATCAGCCAAAGGGCCAGGCTGTCAGAGCCCAAAGCCCATGTGCAGAACTGCACCCCACACACCAAGCCACTTCCCACAGCAGTTATAGAATAAGGCGGAGAGGGGTGAATATCTGCAAAGAGGAAAGCAGGCACTACTTGCACCTGGGCAGGTGGGGTGGAAGGCGGGGACAAGGCTCAGAGAAGGCTGAACTGAGGGCAGCACACAAGCTGTCCTAGAAAAACGGCATCTAGGCATGCAGAAATAAACTCGCAATTCAAACAGAAAGACAACAGAGCAAAGGCACGGAGATGAGGTACGGAAATAAAAGCCACCTTCTAGGCAAAGCCCAAGGAGACAGGTTATGAAACTGTGTTTCAGGTATTTCAATTCACACCACTCACTATGTGAGATGCTAAACTATGGGCCATGCAGAGCCCATGAACTCGCTTTTTAAGCCCAGGAAACACTGCGTGGGAATCTCGGCCATGGAGGAGAGAATGCAATCAAAGTAGGCTGTCCCACAGCGTTCCTGGCCCTCATAAGGCATCTGGTCCCACTGACAGGAGTCCCCAGCCAGCACTGCTTCCCAGAGATGCTCTCACCACTCTGCCACTCCGAGCCCTGGAGCTGGAGCACAAAACGTACAAGGCTGCTCAGCTCGGAAACGCAGCTCGCACGGTGCCTTCAGCCAGGGGTACATGAGGAGCGGGGTCACGAGACCCTCAGCTTTTCAGGAGTAAGCACGTGGAACTTCCCACCCACCCCCCGCCAAGGACCTCAAAAGAGTCCGCAGAGGAACCTGCCACACAAGGAAATCCTGAGTACGGCTCAGAGGAAAGACTGGGTGAGGAACTTCTCCTGAGAGCGTTCATTCAGTGGTCCTCAACAACCCGCATTTATGAACATCTTCTACACACCGTCAGGCTCGGCGCTATTGGGGTTCCAAAATGATTCACTGTGAGTTGTATTCTGAAGAGGCTCGATAAGACAAAGATAAGATGTGCACATAAATAACCAAAATATAAGGTGTTTTATATGCAAAGTGCCGGCGGAGCAGTTCAGATAAGAGTGTTACTTCTAATCAGGGTCAGAAAAGCCTTCACAGAAGAGACATCCTTTACGATTATTCCTGAGCAGCTCTAAGGACAGTGACAGTGATGAAGGGGTGGTAGGGAGGAAGAGGTATTTCAGATGGAGAAGAGGCCAGGAGGTGGACAAGCCCCGGGAGGGGTGTTTACGATCAGCTGGTGGACTAACGGATGGGGGTGGGGGGTGGGTATGAAGGAGAGGCACAGAAGGTGAACCAGAAAAGGCTGGGTAGACCAAGGAGCACCCAGCCTTCCCTTGGGCAGCAGGTCGCCCCTGAAACCTCAGGATCACTCCTCTAGCAAAAGCCATCTGACCGCAATGTGAATGGAGAGGAAGGAGAAGACATGAGGGGCTTTATAGAGGCCAAGTGTCAGCAGTCTAAAAACACAAAGGCAAGATGAGAAAGGGGGCAAAAAGGGGGTCAAAGACTTAGTAAACCTTCTCGTTGAGTATCAAAAGCATTTATTGAGCACCTGGAAAAGGGACAGAGTGGCCTAGGCCACGCGCCCTGCCCTCGGTGGCTGCAGACATCAAGGAAGGTCAGGGCTGGCAGCTGGGCGCCCCTCTTTGGACAGTTCTAATTTGAGGCCGGTCAGCACTATGGAGAACTGGGCCCGGGGGTGGGGTGGGACTTCCAGTAGCAGGATGCCCAGACTGAAGCGTTCAGTCAGTTTGTGACTTATGAGAAACTGAAGTTTGGGAAGCGAAATAAAGCATTTTCCAACACAGTGAGGGACAGGACTGTGATCATCGCCACGCTGACACTCATAAAGAAGCGCTCCCCACCCCCTGCCCCATGCTAAGAAAAAAATTAAATAAATGATACACACTTTCAATAAGTGGAACTGAGGAAATCCTGCTACCGACTGATCTAGGAGGGAGATTGCTGTGGGAACTGAGTTGCACCGTTTCCATGGCTGCAGCCTCCACTAGTCCCTGCAAGTCCACAAATGAAAGCTGCATAGAAGCTTGAGATTGTTTATATATATATATATATATATATATATATTTTTTTTTTTTTTTTTTTTAATCTAACCCTGGGAAAACTTGCTGCCCCCAAGGTAGTCTCCAAATCCCCAAAGCTGGGTCAGTTAGGTACAACCCAGACCAAACGCACACTGGACGAAGGGAGATGGCCACATTTCTTACCCAACAAAAGTAATAATTTCACTGCAAACTACCTGTAACAGGCAGAAACATCTTCCACAAAGCTGGCCCTGAATCGTATTCTAAGCGCTCAACATCTACATTCCCGACAGAGCTTGGAGGTAAAGGAAACCACCAGCTCCCTGACACGTACAGCTTTGCAATCCGTATCAGTCTCTGCCCTTTGTTTTGCCATTCACATTAATTGAAAGGTATTTACTACAGATGAAAAACAAGCTTCGTTCAGCTGCCTCTAAACCGATCCCAAAAATAGAGCAATCACTTTGGTACAAATCGGGTCAAATGTTTTTTTTTAAAAAAAAAAACGGCTCCCTGGCAGGACGACTGACATGGCATGGGACCTTGCTAAGAGTCAGGGGGAAATCCACAAAGATCTTCCCTTCCCACAGTGAGAAAGGAAATATTTAAAGAGTTAGGCAGAGATTAAATTCGTCTGGCCATGTGACCAGCCAAGTGAACACAAGACACAAACTTGAATGCTATAAGTTTCAGAATGTTAAGAGGTCAAAGAAATATATGTTGGGTTTTTTAGAAAGGACTGCCAAACTAACACACTGCCCTCTCCCACCCACAAAAGGCCGGTGTTTTAAGAACTGTCAATAAAAGATCCACTGGGGAGGGACTGCCAGGGGGAGGAAGAGAGATTTATCCATTTCCTATGTTTTATTCCCTCACTTATTAGCTGAGAAATCCAAATGGTCCAACAGTACTTATATTAGTGCCCTCAACTTCCCTGGGGAAAAAAAAATCAGAATATTAATTGACTTACACATGCAGCTACATTAATTATTCCATGGATCTGAATTAATCTGCCTTTCAGAAAGGTATCTATTTTCTAAGTTTGTTTAATCATGTTCTCTTGAGCTACAAAAAGCAACAAACTGGGTCACCATCCACGTTGTTAAATTTGGTAACAAGGCTGACACCATCTGTGGCCTAGACTGTGATGATCTAGCCCCATTGATGGGGGCTTTTCACTACTTCTGCTTTTCCTTTGAAATGATTGTCTAAAGTCACATGTCTACAACTAAATCAGAAGCTATTTAAAATATCCAGTCACACAGATCATCTCTAGCACAGTATAAATATATACTAACACTAAGGCTTTACATGTGTATCCAACTCCCATTTACAGTTGTACTTTCAGTAGCAGTGTCCAAAATTTTTTAACATTCCCTACACATCAGACTACAAAAGCCCAAATGTGAAGAGACATCACACTACATCTGAAACGTGCCGCACATTTTAAATGTAACATGAAATCCTGTACATAAACCATGAAGTCTAAAATCATAAAAGCATAAATAATGTCAACATCTACAGACCCCGGCAGAGCTCTCCCCTCACTAGTTTTGACTTTACAACACTCAGCTAAGAACATCCAGCCCCACTGAAATACAGCTTCAGCATGAGAAACCAAAACCGAATGGAACCAGCTAAAAGAGCGGAAAGCAAAACAAAAGGGAGAATTTCCTGTTATCCGGGACCAGCCCCTCATTCACCTCCTTGCTGCACGGCCTCAACTCATGAAGGACTGATCCTTGCAAAGAGGATGCTGCAGCACCAGAAAAATCCTGAAATGGCTTCTGAATCATCAAGGAAAGAGTACAGGATGTCAGAGGTAAAAACAACCCTGGTGATCTTCTCATCCGATCCCCCGAATTGACAGGTGGGTAAACGGCGATGCACAAAGGGTCTGGGAAATGCCCCAAAATACAGCCAGTTGACAGTCCACTGGGACAACTCCTAGTCCCACTCCAGGGCTCTTCAGTGCTTTTTTTTAAACTATATCAACCTTTCCCAAAGGAAGTTCCATGAAACACTGTGATGCACTCTGCCAAAAAAATGTTTAAAGAATCCATGACCAATTACTTTTAGGGACTAGCTGAGTTAAACAAAATGAAACTGGTTTTTTAACTACAGACTTTCCTGGAGCTTTTACTGAGTTAATGTGCACTATAAATCTTTAAGAGAGCAATAAGGTATATGGAAGTATCCCAATTTATTTCACCATAGAATCATTTTATCTTGGAGCATTTCAAAGAACTAAGTGAAGGAACTTCAATACTCTACTGTACATTCACCAAATTATGCACTACGTGGATTAGTTTTGTTGTGTTCTACTTCTGTAAAAATTAATAGTTCAGGTACAGAAGCTATGATAACTCTCTACTTACCAGAAAAATTAACCATAGTACCCACAACTCCCAAATAACACTGGATTTTAAAAAAAAAGGCTAACATTACCAGGAAAAGAATGGTCGACAAAAAAAGCCTATATGGAAAGAAAAGTTATTTTTAAATCTGCTACAAACCTCTTCCATGAAAAGTTCGACATCTATTTATACAAGATTCATGACTTTAAACACTTTCATTCAGTATGAATTTGAGAATACAGGTCAAAAAAAAAAAAAAACCACCACTGTTGCAAAGCTCCGTGAAACATCACATGCATAGCTGTTAACTTCAACCACCCAGAAAGCCAGCCGCCAGCTTCCAGCTTCAGGATAGAGGTAAATGATAAGCACACATCAGGACAAGCAGCAACTCTAAGGACACTTACCAAGTTATGATTTGTTGAATTAGAATCATCTTCAGGGAATGGGATGTAAATAGCTAAGGCCACACAATTGGCAAAAATAGCCAATAATATAAATATGTCAAATGGTCTGAAAATTTTTGTTAAGGTATATATGCGTTACACCAACATAAACCATCTCTCTCGTCACACTCCCAATCACACCACTTTTGAACTGCTTTTTAAATGAAAATTTTACCCACAAATCCTTATTCAACTGACTGCTGTGACTACAAGGTTTCCAGCAGGAGTAATAGTTAGTGGTCAACTCACAGCAGATCTTCCTATCAAATGACGTCTCCACGCCCTTTTCTTCTGTTGCAAGGATCACGTTACACTCATTCTTCTGTTGGACATTTTATATGATAACCTAAAAGTACATCCAATTAGGGCACTGTGTGAAACAGGTTTCTACTTCGTGTCATTCTCACAGCAACAAGGGCCTTAGAGAGCTAAATTTCTGGCTGTTGTAGACACAAAGAAAAGCCATCATGAGACAAACCTCTTCCACAGATCCTTGTCACCATGTGTTACAGCCATTTTCTTGGAGGCTGTTCTTGGCTGGGTCAGTCTGAATCTCCTGTCCGAACTGGGATAGGACAAGTCACAAAGGACCTTCTCCATTCCACCTGTGACCGTCTTGTGGCTGTTCCAATCCCTCGCTGTAACAAGCAAGCCAGGCTTCACCTCCCTCCTCCGCTTTCCTCCCTTCCTAATCAGTAGTTATCACTGTTTTAGATTAGAGCCAGACCAGAGCTCCGTTTATAACGTGTTGTTATTTTGTTCAATTTATAAACAAATTAAATAAAAGGCCAGAAGAAATCGCCACCAGATACTTTCAGAGTTCAACTTAACATTTCTAAATCTCAGGGGTCTGTCTGGAAGAATCACTCTGAGAGCAGCCTTCAACAGATACTTGCTTAAACCTTCTGCCGTTATTAAGAGACCCTGTCAAAACTGGCAATACAAAATTTGACATCTGCCAAAATGACTGTTTTTCCTCTCTTGGTTTTCAGCCTTTCCAAATGCAAGGTTTCACGAGCACCAATCTAATCTCCAACCCCGGGCTTGGTTGTACGACACTGTTTCTCCCATACACTCACCCACAAAAGGCAAGGCCACGGTTTCACTCAACATCTCCAAGTCCTAAAGCTTTGAGCATATGCACAGACCTTCTCCGTTCATCCTGATTTCCTTCTGGGAAATCCAAAGATGCTGAAGGAAACAGAGACCCCCTCATGTCTCTGGGGATACGTTAAGTTTCATGGAGCCTCAGCCTCTTGAAGAACTTTAACACTCACTGAAATATGGGCGTGAAAGACATTATTCCCTTACTAATTTGATGGGCTTATTTTTAAAGCCAGTTATCCTTCCCTCGTAGTTATTCTTTTAACTCATCTAGTATTACAAAATCTCTTATGTAGGGACCCAACTTTAAGGCAGTCCACCTTAAAAAGACTTCAGAATCTCCTTTTCATTTTTCCTTTTGGCAGCTCCTTCCAAAATTTTAAAAGTCAATTGCCCCAGGGCTATCCTATATGGAAACACACTTACTGTCTCTCCCCTCCCCCACACCACCATTCTGCCTTTTTAATTTCCTGCTACCTAAATGATAAACCAGCAAATATGAGAAGCACTGATGCTGTTCAGGAAAGCAAACATAAGAGTACTTTTTCTTTATGGTGGTCCAGTTTCAGACGCCAGGTACTGGTGGATCCTAACCCACTGCCACAAGATTCTGACAAGCCAAGCAGAACAGAGCCTTAGAGAAACGGATGGGTCTGATCCTAAATATTCCTTCCTCGTTCCCCAAGTGCAGGACACTCTGCTTTGCCTGCATGTAAAGGCAAACAGCAGGTAAAAACTCACTCTCCCAGTGCGGACAGGGCCTGGCACTGCTGGCTTTAGGAAGCTGCCCATACCCTGCTCCCTGAACCTGAAGAAAACTGTCATTTGAAAAAAACAAATCATGTATCGTTTCAGGATCTATTCTGCAAACTTCCCCATTTGTAGGGGCGGCTTCTCCCTGCACTGGCGGCCACAGCCCCTGATTTCTGCGCACATGCCTGGCGGTGCGGGAACGGGAGTCGGCAGCACCATCCAGGAATTCACTCCGTTCACATAAATTACTATATACAAATTACTTTGCACAAAGAGAAACTACCGTCCACAGACAGCATCAGGCCTCCCGCCTCACTCCACATGAAATTAATGACCCCACCGAGAGGCCTCTGCTTACTCAGAGTCACGTCAAGCCAACCTGAGGAGGACGAGATCATTCCGGCTAAGTACAGTCTGTGCCTCTGACTGCTGCCATGCCACTTGAGGGACACCCTGTGGAGCCGGCTCCCTCCTGGGCTGACACCAGTGTTCGTCCTCAGACTCAAAAAGAACCTAAAGAGAAAACACATCCACACAACCCCAGCCATGTGAGAGACACCGCAACTCCCTCTGGAGAGGAGACATCTGTTCTAAAAAGGAAAAAGCACATGAAAACCCCTCAAATCCTACACTTGGCTACTCTCTCCAAAACCTTTCTAGACAGTTACCTCATTTTAACTCTCTGAGAGCACAGAAAGTAGCCAGCTAAGACAGAGGGCGTGCAAAGAGCTGCCTAGCTAGGCACTCAAATGATACGGGGGTTTCAGCTCCACTTTATAGCCCAGGTCACCGACCCCCTCCCTTTGCAGCATGACCGCCCCTCCCCTCCCCCCAGCCTCCGTGGGGAAGCCCTTTATTCATACTCCTTCCTATGCTTAGGAACTGCTCTAAGGCCCAGGTCAACTCCGAATATACTTCTGGGAGAAGGAAATGCTGTGTTTTACCCAAACCAATGAATCACCTAATTAGAAAGCCATTTGCTCAGAAAGAAGGCCTCAGTCAACCTTTTCTGAAGGGTGACAGGCACTGGAACCTGGCCTCCAGGTTTAGGGGAGGGAGTGAGCAGGCAGCACACCCTAGTTTTCCAAGATCTGGGCCCTAACAACCCTCCTGGGGCAGTTGGAGTTCAGTTTTAAAAATACAAAGGAGACACCCAGAAATGTAACTCCAGTCCAAGGACACAGACAGAATTTTTTTATAAAGGCAGCAACTGTAAATTCCTCCGCTGAGAGGGCTGTGCTCTAACCCACAGGGCGCTGAAAGAAGAGGCACACACAAACCTCTCCCTTCACACGCTCCCTCACGCTCACGTTTCAAATGTTGTTTTGGAACTTGTCAAAAGGAAATTCCAGGAAGTCATAGCATTGATGAGCAAATTGCTCCCTCCCTATGAAGCAAGTGTTCATATTTGTAGCTACCTGAACAATCAGACTCACCAAATGTCAGATCTACAAGCCATCTTAGCATTAATTGGAGTTTCCGAAGCAAATTCCAAACGTCAAAATGAGAAGATTCCACTAAAGGTCAAAAATGTATTTATTTCTAGTACAGTTTTTTTTTTTTTAATCAGCATACCTTATTTGCAATAGGTTCAATGCATACCACTGCCAAAAAACAATGGTGCATTGAAACTAACCATCTAGTGTCAAATGACCAAAGGTTAATTTCATATTTTAATTATCTACCACTTTGAAGTTTCAGGTTGTCGCTCTCTCCCCCACCACTACACACACACACACACACACACACACACACACACACACAGAGGAGCCTATACTTACCCAGAGAGATACCCCTCTGCACCCAGAGGAGATAGGAAATTACATACCATGAAACCCTCTACACACAACTTCTTCTGTTGCTCACATTCCAAAATGCTATCACTTTGTAAGTGCCATTTCAGAAAGCAAATCCTTTTAAAGAACAGATGGTAAAAGAGAAAACGAGAAAGCCTTCCCCCAAAAAAGGATACTTCCATTCCACTATACTAATGCAGGCTCTTCGGATGGGGTTATTGAGTGACAAACAGAAAAGGGCGCGGGCAGGTCGGCTGCTGGACGAGTTACCCTGTTTTTTGCTCTTGGCGTATTGCTGACGTTTTCTTTGGGAGAGAGATCCTACAGGTGCGGGTGCAGAGGTGCTCATAGTTTGGGCAGCCTTGGCCTGTCTAGCAGCGTCGATCGCGGCTTGCCAAGACAGGACGGTTTGCTTGGAGCTATTCGGCTGAGAAGTTGGTCCTTCACCAGAAAGAGGGAGCCTGGTGCCTCTTGCATAGTTTGCCTCTGGGAAGAAGGAGAAAAGGGAAAATTAAAAAACAAAACAAAACAATGAGAATCCAGTGTCAGAAGAAAGCTAAAGTGTTTTCCCATCAAGAACAGTAGGGAAATCATCCCCATGTTTCCATTTGAAACCTCATGTCCTATTTTTCAGAAGCAGGGTTTGGCCAGCAAGAGTAGCAAGGAAAGTCCGCAAGCCCTGCCCAAAGTGTCAGTAACACAGGACCACTGCTGCATCACGCCCAATGGGTCAGTAACTCCCTACACCCGTGTCTTCACAAGGAGTCTTTCACTGCATTCCTTCAGACAAACTGAGGTCATTCCCACATTTATTTCAAATCTTTTCTGACTTTTAAAACCCATGTATCTCTGATGAGTTAACAGATACATACAACAGCTTTTCTTCAAAATAACTACCATCACACACACACATACACAAAAAAGAAAAGCAGTGGCAATAATTCAACAGTCTTAATCATTTTCAGGGTGTTACTCCAAAATCTTTCCATAGCCACCAATGCACTTTTTTCAGCATGGAAAAAAAAATCCTCCACTGGCACCAGGGCAATACCAAAAGCCCCATAACCAATACCTAGATTATGCACTGACACTTCCTCCAAATGAAAATTCATGATGCTTGGGACTCATTTCCTCCACAGTCTTTGGAAAACAGAAAACATCTTTAGGGCTTTTTTGCATTTTAAATTGCAGCTGCAGCAGCCAAGCCAGCATCCAAAGAAACAGACAAGGCAGGCAGCCTGCACCCTTACACCTAGGATAGACAGGCTGGGTTATGCCAGGGGCCCTCAAGGCCTAAACAGGAATCACCTCAGTGTAGGCTGGTATCCAAGTGCACACAGGGTAGAACCCCAAGAGGGTTCCATGTGCAAAGCCCTCTCCAGCCTGGGGTCAGGCCAAGTCCCAGGCAGTTCTCCCCGGCACCTGCCTGCCTCTGGTCACAACCTCCTTACTGAGACAGAAGTCAAAGTGAGCGTGGTGGCAGAGGTAGAGGGATGGGCGTTTGCAAAACCAATTCTTGCTCAGTAAAAAGCAAGGAAGAGTCAAAACGAGCACACATCTGCCTGGCCAGCAGCCTGAGACGGGGCCTTGGGGTTGGGCAGCAGACGGTCTGAGCCAGGGGAGGAGTCGCCCCAAGTCTTCCCTTGGGGAGCAGTCATCGGGAAGGCTGCGAGCCCATGGAGGGTTGTGGGGGACTCCAGTGACCTCCAAGCAGGAGTGTAGAGGGCTGGCCAGGAGCTGCGCCCCCTTCCCTCGACCCAGCCGGGCCGGCATGGTAACTGCACGTGGCCGGGCTGGGGCGCAGAGCCTCACAGCGGCAGCGACTCTCCGGGCATTGCTAGGTTACCGACGTGTGCACAGCGGCGCTGCGAGCGGGAATACGCGGTCCACCCGACCCCCTGGCCGGCGACTCGGAGACCCAGCCTCCCTCTCAAGGGTAGGGGGATGCTTCACCCACCGGCGAGAAGGTTGAAACCTGGCAATCCTAGAATTTTCCGGATGCCACCAGAGACCTTCTTCCTAATTAACCAGGGGCCGGGGAAGGAGGTGAAGAGGCTGGAAAGGGGGCTCCGGGTGAAGACTCATAGCCACCCCCTTTCCATCGCTCGGGAGCGTTGGAGGAAAGTTGAGCCCGAGGACACTGAAGCCGAATCACCTCGGCTTGCCGCCCCTCCGGCGGCACAGTACTCCACGGACTCCACGGCCGCCCCCACCCCACAAATGCAGAATTAGCTCTGACATTCAAGGCCTGAAGGGGAGAACGGAGTGGCTGTCACGCATCTCCCCTTTCTGTGTAGATGACACCGAGCTAGAAGCATCCTCTCCAACCCCCTCAACCCACCAGCGCATCAGAGATGGGAGGGGGGTGAGAAGGAAGAGGGGGGTGGGAAGAGGAGGACCATGACAAGGATTAGATTTGGCAGCGGGTGCCCAGGCTCTGGCTGCTCACCGTTCGCGTGGTCCGCTTGCTGCTGCCGTTGATGCTGCATTTTTTTCATCATCATCATCATCATCATCCACGAACATTTATTGAGCGCCTACTGTGTGCAGGGCACTGTGCTAGGCGTCGGGGCGGGGGAGGAACGGGCAAGGGGGTGACCGATAGGTAGGAGCCGCGATCCCTGCCCTTATTCAAGCTTCAGCAGGGGGTGGGGAGGGACGGGGACAGATAACAGAAAATAAGAATAATTTATAAAAACCGCTGGCCACCCACGCTCCCTCTTTTTCAAAATCGGAGCAAAATAAACTTTTTTTTAAAAAATAAGATCGGATGTATATATTATCTTGATAATATATACATGTAATTTTTTGCTGCAAAGGAGAATTGGCTTGGTCCCCCCCTCTAGCGGAGGGACGCCGCGGAGGATGCCGGCCGGGCCGGCATCCTCG